GGCGCTCGAAACCCAGCCCCAGGCCTCTCCCGGCTCCCAGGCCCCGCGGCAGAGGCGGAGGCCAGGGAACTTTTGGTGCGAGAGAGTTTAATGATTCCGCACACGCGGAGGGTGCCTCGTTCCTGCCCTCTGCGCTCCCTCCCTCCGGCTTCGGGCAGGGGCGGCCGGCGCGCCCTGGGGGCTGCGGACTGGGGAGAGGGGCCGAGCTGGGGTCCGGAGGCGACCGGGAGAGGGACTCCCGCGTCCGCTTCTTGCGAGCATTGGCTGAGCCGAGACCTCGGTGTGCAGAGCCCCGTGCAGGTCCCCTTCAGCGGGCGCAGCCCTGCGATCAGCAGCGAATGCAAAGTTTTCTCGCGAAAACCTCAGCCCTTCCCATCTGGAACTACTTCCATGTGGTGCTGGGGCGGCCGGCCAGGGCCGGATTTCGGAGTGGGTACATTTCCCCTTTCCTCACGGAGTGATAACGTGGTCCCCATTCGGCCGCATTCCTCCACAGTGTGTCAGAAGTGGAAAGGCATTTTGTTGGAGTGTTTTGTCGTTGGTGTCTGTGTGACAACGGGCCACGCGGAAGTCTCCCCCAAGCACCTGGGGGTGATCCTTTGTGCTCATGTCTGGGGGCAGAGCAGATTCGCTCGGGTATCTCCGAGTTCCCGGATGGTGGAGTGGCCTGGCTCCTGTGGGCTTTGGGCAGCGCTTTCTAGGGGGGCGTCCTTCAATATTCTACGAAATCGAGAGGAAAACACTTTTCACACCATTGTTTTGCTTTTAGTATACACTGGGAAAACCAGGCGTGTATTTGGCTCCGTAGAGAAAATTCAGGATGGAAGGTGTTGGCTTAATTTAGCAGGGTAAAAATGTTCCTTGCAGTTGGCGAAACTCTTAGTGAAAATCGGATAAAATTAGTGGAAGTTGGGCCCCATTTATCCTGCAGTGCTGACAGCGGAAATACCCTCTAGGTTTGCATTGGGCCTGTTTAAGGGTCATTTATGAATGGCAGTTTATGATCTCTGCGTTCTAAGTGCAGAATGGAGTTGTCCATGTACTCTGGAAACCAGCAAAGCACGGCAAAGTGGGAGAGCACGCCCTGCAGCGTGGGCGCTCCTGGCCGGGAGACCGATGGGCATGGCCTTTGACTTCATTCATCTTGGCGCTTGAAATCAGGCAGGTGGCACCCAGTACCTGACGGGCCACCCGCCTGTGTGGGAGATGCACACGGCCTTCTTTGCCTGGGTCACGAACTCATTGCACAGGAAGTTTTAGGCATTGACAGTGTCCAAGGCACTGTGCTGGGTGCTGGCCATGGCGAGTCCCCCGCTGCTCTGTGGACAGTGCACTGGGAGTGTCCCATTAGAGCTTGCCTGGGCCTCCAGGGAGGGAGAGCTGTGGGCTGTGGGAGAAGTGGGGTGAGGGCAGTTCGGGAGGCCTTGGTTATAGATCTGGACCTCGTTCTTTAATACCAGCAGTGGTGGTTTTGTAGAGAGCTGGGCACACAGAGAAGGAAGTGCAAGGTTGGGGGTCTGGAAGGCTTCTCACAGCTAAAGGAGGCATGTAAAGATGAGGCCACCTCAGAGGGCCCGGAGGCCGGGGAAGGGAAGGGCCATAGTGGCATTGCAGTTGGAGATGAATGAGAGGAAGAGTCAGCGGTGGCTCAGGGGTTTCCAGAATGATTGAATTAAATGTAGCGTCAGTGGGCAAAGTTAAGGATGGGCTTTGCAGTGTATGTGGTCTAGTCATTGGCTCACCAGACTGTTGGCTCAGAGGTTGCAAGAGCCTGAGTGTGTCCTGGGTCCATTGGTGTTTTTTCCTCTTAAATTGTTAGGTAACAATTAGGGTGAATCTTCAGTCTCTCTTTCCTTATCTCCGGTTTTATGTAAAGTGATTCTGAAGCAAACACATTAGCCCTGTCTAACTTTTTTTTTTTTTTTTTTTGCTAAGGGCGCTTGCACTCACCAGAAAGCGAGAAAACACAGCCCAGGGGGGATGGCCATGCTACACAATCCCTTCTCCTCCATTCTCCTCTCAGAATCTTGGGCATGCACATACACGCCACCGGGTCCGGGACTTGAACTGCAGTCAGCTACATGGGAGTCCAGCAACAT